AGGGATCGTCCGGAAGCCCGTTGTTTTATTTTTTTCTTCTCTTTTTTTTTTCCTTCCTTTTTTTTTTTATGTGTGAAACTCGCGTAGTACAGTGGAAATCGATGGTATCGGGGCGACGTTTCCTTCCATCGATTCATGGAAATACTGAGGAAGGGACAGAGAGAGAAAGAGAGAGAGAGAGAGAGAAGGCTCGATAAGCCAGCTTCACCAAACTTCGCCGTCTCGCTCGTTGCAAGAAAAATCCTGCAGATAATATTCTATTGATCTCGTTGTCAAGAAGTCGAAATGTTTCGATATTTTCGTTGATGAAGTCTCCTGACAAATAGCATGGCGAACAGCATCGTTGACGAAGGGAATAAAGCGGGCACCAATTAAATAACGTTGTCGAAAACCAACAGGAAGCTGCCTTTGAAAATGAGAATGGTGTGAATTAAAAATTGAGGTGATTTACATAAGGTTATCCTCCGTGTTAAACGTATCTGGCACGTATATTTTTAAGCGCCGAGAGGTTACCAAGTTATTCCGAGCTGCTCGAAATAATTGTTTTTAGCTTAACAAAGTTAGATATTTCATCGAGATACACTGTATCCCTGCTATAACATGATATTCGTGTTACCTTTTGCAATACTTTTCGTCAGCCTATACGATTTTCGTAATTGCTCTCATAAATATTGAAAATCCCCTAATTACTTTCACTCTCTGCGACCGTTGAAACAGCACTTTACATTTTATCGTGTTCATTTGCAACAAATTACTATCACTTGTGTGGTTTCATGATCAGCAACGTGATACATATCTGTTGAATATAAATCGTATCGCGTACGCCGGTCAAGAGCACTTTGCAATTTGTGCAAAAATATTCTTGTTCTACTAAAGAATACTTTTGCTTCTAAACTATGTTGAGGAATTACGTTTGAAAGAGAGGTAGAGAGAAGAGCAAGGAATTTCAATGTACGTAAATTGACGGACCCCAATCTTGCGGGAGGTTACGAAGAAAAGTCTCGCACGATCTACGAGATCACACAAAGATTTAAAATCCGGCGATTCTTCCACTTCTCGGAAGAGATACATCGTCGTATGACGTTTCGATTCGTGCCACCTAAGAGTCAGGTATAAAATGCCAGTGAGATCCAAAGGATCACAGCCCCTAAATCAACGCGGAACGTCTCTAAATGCCCTTTGATAGGACACCGGGCATGAATTTCTTATCCGCGCCGACATCGGCCATGACGTCGGTCCTTTGCGAACGATGTCCGGACAGAACTCCTTCAGCGGACAATTAGCGCGATATTAGCAACTCTTTAATCCCCTGGTCCGTCTGAGACTCGCGCCGCCGCCACTCGGCCTCGCCAAGACGCGCTGTTTAATAATGCAACCGAGACTCGCTTCTGCCACTTGCTCTTCTTGCCCTCGAAACTTCGTCCCCTGATCTCGTCCTCCAGGCTTGTCCGCTCATTAATTATGCTCTGACGACTTCCGTTTATTGCTTTAACGTTGGAAAAAAAGGAGGAAAGAAAGAAGACAGAGAGAGAGAGAGAGAGAGAGAGAGAGAGAGAAAGACGGAGCTTCGATAGCTGTGATTTTACTCGAAGTAAAAATCACAGATCCCGCTTGGTTACTTGCGAGGAACCAAGGCGGCTCGTTGTTCCGATAGATCGTGGCGAAATTTCGAGGTCAATTTGCACGAGGCAGCATTTGTAGAATAGAACGTTCTGTTCATCGATCATTCTAACGTGTTGTATTTGTTCGATCTATCTGCGTCTTGATAACAAAGTGTCAAAGAACGCGCATTTTTGTACGATTTGATAGAAAATTTTAGCGAATTATTCTCCGTGTTTACGAACGTTCTTGATAAGAAAATCTGAAAGGAAGGCGGTATTGTGTATGTATTCCTTGATTAACTGTATCAAACTCCAATCTCAACGCGATTATCGCGTTTCAAGAGGATCAGCGTTACCTTATCGCTGTCCGGCTCTATCGATAGCGTCTTGTGCCAACTGAAAACACGTTGGAAATATCCGCGTTACGTAACGATTAACACGAAGGTGACAAAGAATAAGATAATCTAATCAAATGTGAAAACGGGCAGCCTCGGGGAGTCGTTTCGCGAGAAAGCGAAGAGACAAACGATTGAGCAGCCACGGTTCGCTTTTGTTTCTCGCGTTACTCGGCTCGCGAGAATGCAAGGAACCTGGTCGAGTGTATATAGGTGTACAAGTATATTCGAGTCAAATGCAACGCTTCTGGAAGGCTTCATTGAAAAACAGAGTGGCAATTCCGCAGAGTAGAAGGCGCGAAATGAAAAGGGCGGGTTTCACGGGCTGGCGCGCGCTTTTCGTTCGGCGTTCTCCTCGTTGGGAATTCTTCAGCGTCTCATTACATCGGGCTTTCCGCGTGATAGAACATTACATAAAGTGGCCGACCCGTTGAACGACGTTGCACCTTGAACTCCACGTCGCGAGAAGTAAATTTCGACGCGTGCCAATGCGATTCGTAATTGACAAAAACTTGGACTAAGAACGATTCTCTCTCTCTCTCCCTTTTCTCGCAGTTTTATTGAACGTGAACGCGTTACCACGAAGATGGTAGTTGATCTAAAATTTTCCGATCTTGGCCGGTGCAAATCTCAGCTTCGAAATTAATACCTTGATGTACCGTAGGAGCGTGAAACGTTCAATCGAAAACGAGAATATTAAGAAAATAATCTAGAATATGTTTGAACATTTTTTTTTTTTGTCAATCTGAGAAACACTGTAGATGATAAGAATGAATTGGAATTGCGGAAGGGAATTTTATTTAGGATTTAGTCCGAGTTTCCTGTTAGCGGGCTCAAGTTCTTTTCGCATCAACGACAAGGAAGAGCGCTATCGCGCAAGATTTGTCCCACGAGCCAGGAAACCTGCGAGACGTCTAACTCGAGGAGTTTTGCATCGTAATTGGATGATCCGAGTTCAAAAGTTTCGCCGATACTACCGGAAGACAGAGAGTAGCCGTTTGTTGCATCCTGCTCGAGCTTTTCTCCGATGGATTTCCAACGTTCGACTCGGAACTTTGCGTTTAAAAGGAATAAAACGACATTTACTTTTGCACGTGTGTTATACAGCTTGGGAAGTGTTGCTTTTCTTTAAAACATTCGTAATTATTGATAACGAAAAATTGTCGATACTTTAAACTGTTATAACTTTATTAAAAAAAAAAAAAGTCGTATAACAATCTAGTTGGCCTCGTTTCAAAGTTTATTTTGACACTGACTTACGTTAGTTTTCTTTAAAGATGTTTTTACGTCATCTAACAAGTGGCAAAGTAAAGATACTTTTGCTCTTCAAATACTTTGCTCTGAAAACGTTAAAAAATTTTCTTAACTAAAACTGTCACAGCTTTGAAGACTGAAGTTTTCTCTTTACAAAGAGCGCTTAAAACTTGTTATACAATTTCTTTTCACCATTTTGTTGAACGTTGCAGATTAGGATTAATAATGTTTAACTCTAATGTTCCAGGTTCAATAAAAAGAAAATCAAGTTTTAAGAATTCGTCGTGAAAAAAAAATCGATCTTCAAGACCATGTATGGCAGATGTAATTGAAATGAAAAAAAAAGCATTTTTAATGTTTTTACACGAATTTGAATTTCGACAATTTAAAAAAAAAAAGCTGTCACCTTCGAATTTGACGACTGTCAAAGTAGAAGTTTCACGTTTTACAACGAAACCGAATGATCTCTTTTTTTTACGAAATTGTATCAGTCTAAATTATCAGCAATTTTTTATTATCGCCGGTACAATTATGCTCTTCGCTGCAACATCATACAAATCACGTAACGTGCCATTTCCCATTCCATCTTCTTCGACTTATACATTTCCCTCCAAGTAGTCTCTATCCAAAATTCAGTCTTGCGACGATCGATAGGGAGTGGAAAGTGAACGAGGCAGAGAACGTCCAGGTCGGTTCATCAACGGATGCATCGTTCGTCTGTTTGCGTGTTTCACCTTTCAGTTGGAACATCCGCACGTGTCACCGCGATGGCACGGACTCTACTTTACATGCTTATTCCGGTTGCAGCTTATAACATACCGCGTTGCCTCGCGCCCATGTACACATGTACACACCCCGGCGGGATTGTCTCTGCGTATAGGGACACCGTACGACTGTCCCTGATTTGCATAACACGTGGCTGTTTACAGAATCGCGAACGCGCCGCTGCTTCTCTTTCGTTATCGAGCAAGAGTTACGAAGGACGCGCTAAATGGATTACGTAATTATTAATAACACCGATACCGGTCTCATTCCGCGTTAGTTTCCCTCGATCTCTCTACCGTTGATTCAACGGTATCGAAAGGGGACGTGATTCATTCCAGGAATGGAAATTAAATTCAGTAATTGAAATTGAAGAATTGACGAGGATCGAACATCACCTCTCGGTGGTTGAAAAATATTTTTCAACATTTTCGTGAAACAATCCCCTCCTGAGGGGACGGTCGTACTCGAATCTAGTCAACAGCTCGGACAATACTTTGCGTTTTATAATTTGCTGATAGTTATAACGAATACATTTAGTGTTATATGACGCGATGTATAACATGCGAAAACGGACAGACGGTTTGAAACGAGAGTGAAAACTGCAACAACGACATAAGAGGAACAACAAGTTTCTGAAGACAATTGACACTGAAAAATTCCTGAGTCAATTGACACTCAATAATTCGCATAATCTAGACTTCTTATTGCTTCTTACGAAAGTTGAAAAAAATGACCATGTATCATTAACTTTTCTATATTATACTTGTTTACACTAGCAAACCCGCAATACACGTTGATGATTGCTTTAAATTTAAACGATATCACGCGTTGAATACTATTTGAATGATTATTTCCAATGCTATATCATTTTATTTTATTTTATTTTATTTTATTTTATTTACGAGTTGATGCTTTGTAAATAAATTATCGCTGGTGAATGATGCAGAGAAAGTTTGTCGAGGGCGAAGGGTTAGATTTTATTCGTAGTAAAATGATTTCAAACGATAGGATGACATAACGTCGAGTGCCTGAAAAGATCCTCGATTTGAATCCAAAAAAGTACCTCGTTTGCACGTTCCTTCCGGTATAAATGAGACCTCTGCGATGATTTAGCGGTCGCCGTAAAAAAAAAAGTTCGCTGATCGATCCCTCTTGTTCGCATTCCAGCCTCGCGTGCAGAGAAACGCTATAATATGAGACAATTAAACGAACACGCTTCATGGTCTGTCGGTAATTATGCAAATATATACACTGCTCACTGTGTATACTCTGCAGATTACCCATATCGTGTCATACCTTCACATTGACAACTTCATCGATCGATTCTCGCCCTCTTTGTTCTTCAAAATTTCCATATCCCTTATGAAAGTCAACTTGCACATTATTTTGATATTTTGTATGGATATTCGTTCAACAAAAGTTAAAGGTGTAAGAAAAATTTCACAATCTTGAATGAGTGATTTGTCAATTACAGATCCTTGCGAGGAATTTATAGTACAAGTCAACATTAACAAATAATATTCCAATGCTCGTAGCAAAAAAATTCGAGACTGTATAAAAATACTGAAATCTTTCAACCCGACAATCGCTAATTCTACTTTTTCTATATTTAAAACTAGATACGTTGGAGCACTTGTGTCTGATTGAAAACATTTCCGCCAAGGATACTATACAATATAAATTAACTAACATTAAAAATTAACTAACAACAAACTTGCAAAAAGATTCACTCGAAGCGAAGGGGTTGAGAGTCCAGCGATAGAAGATCTGCCGATCTTCTTGGCCTTGGAGCTCTCTTTGCAATTTGTTGCATGCGCGAAGCGGCCATCGTCCATACTTATCACGTGGCGGCACTTCCGCTGGATTTAAAAGGCGGCTCGCGCGCGTCGCGTAAATTTCACCGGAAGATTAGCGCGGCTTTTCGCGCGTAAAACCAGAGATTAAAATCTTACCGTCGGCTCTCTGCCGCGCACGCATGCACACGATCAACGTTGTCTCGCGCGCGCGCTGCAGTCGTCTCGTGGTTTCAGAACAGAGCTACCATCTCGGATGGTTCTATTGTATTCTGTGGAACTGTGCTTGTCTGTTGGTCCACGGGGAGCCGTAAACAGGTAGCAGAGTTATGATGAACTCGGACTTGGAATAAATAAAGACAGACGCAATCGTCTGAGGTGCTCGTGTCTTGAAATGTAATTGAGCTTCTGGGACTAGGGTAAACGCGAATTTCAATTAGGGCTGATTGCCCTTTGGTCTTTGAAAAATTTTATTCCCCATGATCGCGAGTATTTCTTAATCTGTAAGAAATTAAAGACACAATTAAAGTGCAATTTCTATCACTTTAATTGTGTATTTTTATCGCATTATTTGTTTTACCTTTTAATTGTACTTTCTTTGCAAATCAGTGTTCAGATGTTGAGATTTTTGGATTGTAAGTATTTACATAGGGGAGAGTCGTACGGTATCGAACAAAGATAGTACTTTGTTCTTATCGTCAATTATCAGCATTACTGATGATATGAAGAAATAAATTAATACTATCGTCTTTAGCAACGTATTCCGGCGTCGTTATTACCAGAGATGTAAGAGATGTTATACGTTTACGCTGCTACTTTTTGTGCAACAAAAGTTATTTTTCGTAATGGAATTTTTTTGTATTACATACATTATTTCTAGATTATTAGATATACATAAATGTCCCAGTTTTTGTAACTTACCCTATATATTATATCAAAACTAAGTGCTTGTTGATATCTTGTAGAGAGATCGGCCAGTACCAGACAAGTTTGACAAAATAATTTTAATTTTTTTATAGTTAACGTTGTTAGGTTTCTCTCCCCCGTTTTTATTTTGGAAAAAAAAAATCTGAAGTGAAAGTGGAAAAAGTAGAGTGGACGCAGGACGATGCTACTTGAAGAGAAAATGACAGATAGTTGAAGTTTCCCAGATTCCAAAAGAAAGAACCCGATTGTTCTGCTTTTGAAATTTGTAAACACGTTTAAATAAAAATTTTACTCCATTTGAATGTCTTTCTATTAACGTTATCAATTATATAGATCTTAAAATCCACTATTCAAGCAGGTGACAATTTTCGGTACGTTGCGAGTTATTAACTTTAATATTATGATAAAATTTAAGAAAAATGGTTTATGCCCTCTCATCAAACTTCACTTTTACTACTTTCTTTTCTCAAAGTTTGATTTTTGCAAAGAATTAGCCAAGTTGCAATAGAAAAGCTCAGAGTGTCCTAATCTCGACAAAAATTATTGGAAACACGACGTTTCACGACGCGTCATCGCAAAAGTACGCCGCGATACTTGGAAAAATACCGTGCACGCGGACATAGTCGAAGCTAGGATGCAGTAAACAGAACGATTTACCCGAAGTTATCAGTTCTCCGCGATACTGCCATAATTTCTTCGAATAATAAAATATTTCACCGGCAAGTGTCCATTTTTGAGATTGGAATTCTTGAGGCAAGTTCTCGATGATTGAAAGTATACGAAAGTGTACGCCGCGAGTTTGTTGATTGAGAGATTTCGGAATACGGTAAACTACGCAAGAAGAAAAGAGAAGAAAGAAAAAAAAAAGAAAAGAAAGGGAAAGAAAGGGGAGAAACGCGCTCGATGGTGAACGCGTAATTTGCAATACAACGGTTCTGCTCGTCCTGGAACTGTTTCAAAGAGCCGTTACATTAAACAGGAGTGAAAGAAGCGAAGTTGGCAAGCAACTACTCGCAGTTGCAGTAACCGGTGATCGAAACCGTGGAAAGCATCATCGTTAGAAAGTGCCGTATGAAGGTTCCTCCCGCTCGAGAAACCGAAAACATGTTTTGGTCGAGTTCTCGAAAAGTGTGGAACAGTGAAGTGTTTGCTTCCGGAATGCGGGAGAAACAAGATAGTCGTTCATCGATATCGATAGCGTTGCCATTTGATGCTGAAACGGTGGCAGGGCAAAGTAATTCTCAAAGGAGTGACGACTTGAAAGTCGGTAGCCCTCTCGGCAGCGTCAGGTTTTTTCCTTGCTGCAACCTTTAAGAATTTATTTTCCAACGAATGAACGAAAAAGAAACTTGTTACGTTATATTCAGGATCTATTAATCGCTAAAGTTTTCACAGTTGTCCCTTGATTCGTAAGAGCTACGGAATTCACATTCCAAATGAAGTGGAGAAAGTAATAGGAAAGAGGGGATGAGATAAATAAGAGAGAGAGAGAGAGAGAGAGAGAGAATATCTGGAAATAAAAGACAACAGAGGCATTCTAGTGAAATGACGGAACATTTATCGAAACAAAGCGGCGAATGACGAAGAGAGATGAAGAAAGGGGGAGAAAATTGGGGAAAAGCAGACGAGAAAGTATAGGCAATAGGCGAGAATTGGGGGAGGGGGGGAAGAGAGGAGAGAAAGATAAGTTGAGAGAGAAGGGCAGAGAAGCCTCGAGGGGAGGTTCAGGACCCGAGAACAAGGGGGTAGCTTCCTAATCAGCTTACTTCCGTAGCTCACACCTTTTGTGCCTTGTACCAGTCCCTGGATTAAAGCATTGTCGCTGCTGGTTATTATATCACGAGATACGAACGAGCAGTATACAAACGCGGGCAAAGTACACAACAATAACATGTGGTTCCATGCAGATAAACTGCATCGTTCGAAACAATGCTCCTACCAAAAGGACTGGCCAGAGTCTCTCGAGGTCATTGTAAAGATATAGGCGATCCTCGCTCAAACGAAGAATTGTATCCTCCACCTGATGACACTTGGCCGAGGAATGACCAACGTTATTTACATGAAAAGTACTCGAAAATTCCTTGAAATGAATTTTCACGAGGTGGAACTTCTCGGGAACTTTGTGGTAAACATTAGCCTTTAACCTTTTAACTTTTCAGTGTCGGCCGAGAAAGTTGCGTCTGAGCGAAAAATTTGGTGTAGTTTGAGAAAACAAAGTATAAAAGTATTCGATAAAAAAATTCAGAAAGACACATCTTAAAAGATAAAGGGAGAATAAATTAACGTAGCCAACAGCGACGCTATAAGGATTAAGGCTTACTGTACATTTTCGTAGTTCAAGTGAACCAACAAGAAGGAACTATAAATCAGGCTTTCCGACGGGGAAGAAGAGGGGACGATCTCGTTGGAAAACAAAATATATTCGAAAAGTAGCCTCCCGTAATACGTATATCCGATCGCGAACCGATGGCTCAAGCTGAGAAGGATGAAGGCTTCCGCTGGATCGATCGAAATTTCATTTCGTCGCCAAAGACCTAGGGGGGGGGGAGGGGAGAGGTCTTTCGACCTTGTACACAGGAAGTGGCGTGCACTGGCTTCTTGCGAACCCGTTCAAACTTTAATGCATGCGAGAAGGTCTGCTTGTTTGCTCTCGAGAAAATTGCTCCCGTAGAAGCGGGTGTATCGAGGTACATAAAATGTGATTTCGCTTGGTGACCCAAGGGATTCCTCCCCCTTCGCTGTTGGCTCTCTGTGTCGGACGCCTCGTCGAAAGAGCGTCTCACCTGTGTGTACGTCGTGAGGCGTACCAGACGTCCGTTAAATTCGGCAAAGACCGCCGTCCTACGCCTACATCGCTTTTCTCCACCAGCAAAAATTCCTCCCCGTCCTTCTTGCCAACGAGACGAAGAGATTTTCTAAAAGTTGAGGAATTTAACTCGATCAAAGCTGAATTCCAATCTGAACTGTTTTAGAAATTGAATACACATCATAAAACTCGTTTTGTCTCGTAAATGCTCATTCGAATCTGCTTCAGATGTCTTTGTACAAATTGTACAATAAATTTCTGAAACAGATCGCTCATATAATATAAGATATTCTAGATTTGAGAAACTTAACTCGATCAATAGAAAATTAAAGTCCAAGCTAAACAGTATAAGATATCGGTGCACAGGATATCTGACAATATACAGTATCCGTTTACGTAATCTGTTTCAGATTCCTTCAGTTGTATCAATCATCATTGTTTCTGAAACAGATCGCGTATATCGCCAGACAATTCTATATATTCATTTTTCTGTATTAATCGGTCGTCTTACGTTACTGGGGGATTCTTTGGTGTAAATAGGAGTAGTCACCCCTTGCGAAAGTCTTGGCGAACAGCCGACGTCACTTCCGTCATGACCGCAGCCAGCGTTAATTAATGTAACTCGACGAGGAGTACGAGCATAATTACTTTGCTCGAGTGGCCAGAGCGAAAAGTTTGCTCGTTATCACAGCGGGCGCGTGGATGCACGCACACGATGCAAACGCGCATCCATAACGGTGCCTTAACACAGAGGATTATCGTATATTATCGTTTCGTGTTATGCCACGTTACAAGGTCAAAACGATAGAATTGTTCTCCCGCTCTTGAGAGTCGCGTGACATCGCAAGCAATCATTGGTGTCGAATAATATTACGTTCAAAGATCGAGGAATCTTCGCAAACTTCTAATTTAGATCTTTGGAAAATTTTGCACATTCTCAGAGAAATAGTTGACTAACGCATTACGATTGATTGTGAGTTTTTTTTTTGGGGGGGGGGGGAGGAATCGTGCAACTCTTAACATCTCATTGGAATTTGAAATATTTCTAGTTACACAGTTACAAATGTTTTTACGTGGTATAATTTCACGTGGACGGAAATAGAACGGAACAGTCTCTCCATCGTTGGTATATCCGTCAATAATAATTGACCGCTAGTTGAAACACGATGTTTCCTAGCATTCCGGCGTATTTCGCGTTTCATCATTTAAACGGGCAAATTCGACTTTGCGCGTACATACACATGACATTTGCGCAGAGTCTGTCGAATCCCATTTGAATCCAGCCTCGACAACAATTTACATTATTTCCATGCTAACTCAGCCCAAAAGCTGCCGCCACCACGCTGCAAACAATCCCTTTATCTTTCTCGAAATCTCTCTAACCCAATTCGACGAAATCTCCCTTCCTCTCTCTCTCTCTCTCAAAGAAAAATCTCAAACAACATCCAGAGGTTTTGAAACGTACAAAAGTGCAAAAAGTACGAAAAGTATCGAAATATCTATCTTCCTCTCTCTCTCTCTCTCTCTCTCTCTCTCTCTCTCTCCCCGCGTATGGCTGCTACATTTCTACATCGTATATTTGCTTTCATCCGAACCGATAACGTTGACAAAAATACGTTTGGAAAATATATTTGGAAAAACGATGTTTTGCATGTCCCATTCGGCGGGGGATCGAATCCAGACGTACGACTGGCGAATGATACGCTTTTCCCTCTGCCGGTCGTGTATCTTCTTCGATTTGCTCGGCGATTCGTTCGGAGACTAAAAGGACGAAGGAGTTTGCACGAGGGAGATCGACGTATTAGAGAGGATGGTGATAGTGACGGTGACGCCGGCTGAAGGAAAGTTGAAACGAGCAAGCACACACAACGAGGACGAGAGCACTGGCCGTGCTCTGTTTGGCGACGGCCGGATGCACGAGGGTAGCAGACCACATCACTCGTCGACCCGACCGGATGCGTCGACATTGAAATACAAGCGGCCTTTCGCCGCTGGGCTCCCAACCCCTCCTGCTTCTGTTGATGTGACCCGCTCGTTCTGCAAGCTCGCTTCTTCCTGCTTCGGTCGAATCTTCCCGAACGTTTACGAGATCGATAGAGGCCGAAAACCGAACGATTAACCGGGAGCAATAGGATCGTTAGACTAGACACAGAGCTGGACAGACCGTACACGCGCACATTGTGGATTTTTAAAGTTTTTGATAACGAAAGTATCCTGGCTTTCCTATTTGCTGGATGATTTGAAAACATCATTGAAGAAACTAATACAGTGAAACATGTGAATTTCTCACTTTAAAACGAGACTGTTTATACGGACAATTTTGTATCAAACGTGCGAATACTTTCGTCCACCGTATATTGGAAGAAGGTGGTAAAAAAAATAGTATTGTAAATATATCTTCCTTAAAACAGATAAATAAGATTATCGTATTTCTTTAATAGATTTTATTGATTGATATTACTGATTTAGACAACGAACAAATGAATCATATTTATTCTATGTCAACTAAATTCTAACGTAAGAGATCCGGTACAAAGACCTAGCTTTTCGAATTCTCGAAGATTGAGGCAAAACCAATGTCTTTTTGTGGCTATTATATTAATATATTACGATCGCGAATGTCTCGGATCCAACAGTAGTACCTGCATGCTCGACCAGGCTCACTCAACTGTAGCCCCTCTATAACTCAACGTCCATAGTTTCCTGAAACCCTCGTGTTTTCTGAGAAGCAATTGTTGAGATCCCTTGGATCCCACGATTCACAATGACCCCTAAGACGTTTATGCTAGACTCCGTGTTGTATCTCACGGATTCACAGATGAATTTTCCACCGAATATCATCAATACACTATCGTGGCAGAACGCGCGCGAACAGAATTTTGACATTGGCGAATGTTAAATTACTCGCGTGGAAACTTACGATTTCCGATAGCATCGGCAATGAAAATCGTCAACAACGATAATTCGTATAATTTTTGTTGTTTGCGCGACGAACGAGATCTTGATTTTGCTTTACGCTTCGATCTGTCAATGTTATCCGAAATGTAGAAGTGCGTGATTCCGATAATAGGCCATTCGTCGACACATGTATACCGAATACTCTTTACTTCGTCACTCTTTGATTCGGCCTTGATCCGTGACGCACGAATCTTTGCTCTTCAATTTCCAAAAATTCCTCGAAGGTCCACGATTAAATTCATTCGATGCAAAAGATACCAAGAAACAGAGAAACTCATCAACAAAATCATCGATACTTAATATACAGATATTCTTGAAAGCAAAGTCTTAAGTCAACACCCTATATAAAATTATCATGCAAGTTTCTCTTATCACTCGAAATTAATTCATCACTCATTAATTATCAACCGTTGGATTAAACGCATTTTACGAACTACTCGTAGATATAAAATAAAATCCAATATTTTCATATTGTAGAGAAACATAAATGAATGCAAAACGATCTGACAAATGTTTCAGCTTCGGAGCATACGTTCGATGGGAAGGTAGATCTCGTCCGGCCCTTCGGAGTGTTTTACCGTGTCGTTTGCAATAAGATTTTCGCGTGCAAGAAAGCAGCCGTGGGCGTGGATTCTGGAAAGGAGGAGAAACGAAACGAAGGGAAAGGATCAAGAACCGAAGAGGAGGAAGCTGGCGCGCGCGGGAGAGAGAACTGCCAGGGAATCCAATCGCAATAGAGTTAAGTGTTTGAGAGTAAAACCTGGCCAAGACACGACCTCGATTACTCGCCGAGGATTTGTTACGGCCACCTTTTCCACCGCGTTTCCTACTCTCTGGCTCTTTGAATCGTCCGGTGCTCCTTCTTCGTTTTCGATTCGGCTGAAAGCCGCGCCAACGTCCTCGAGACCCCCATTGGGCGAGGAGGCAGGGCAGTAGGGGGGACAAACGATCAAGCTTTATCTCTCCCCGTCGATTCATCCACCATCCGCTCTTTTTTTTCTCCTCCGTCATACTAATGTTTCCAATTGGCCGTAGCGTTTGCCGATCATCCTCGTTAAATTGTACTTGTTCCAACAGATCTCCTCGCACGCCTCGGTTTGCCAATATTTTCAAAAACTATCTTGGATTTCTGGTAATTATTCAGCGCAGTAGATTTAATTTTTGATGGAATTTGATTGGAAACGGAAGCGTTCGAACATTTCCAGGCATCTGAAAAAGTAAAGAAAAAATTCACGAAAAATCATTCGAATCTCTGAATTATTGTCAATCTACAAAGTTTGCTCGGAGGAACTGGTCATTTTGGCCAGCGTGTTCTAATTTTTTTTCTAAATGTTTAATTTAAAACGATTTTGAATTAAATACTTAGTCTACTAATTTCTCTTTTTAGAGCCGTTGTTGATGACCATGGTATTCAAGTTGACAAAAGAAATTTACTAGAGATTAAGATGATACATGAATGAAAGGGAAGAATTTCAAGTTCCAGGAACGAATCCCAGGATCAAGAACTGTTTCAATGGGCAAATTCACGAAAGTAACGAACAGACCGAGCGATTTAACAAAAATACGATCGACTAGATAAATCTAGCGATAAATGAATCTTCGACTGATCAAGTACAACATTCAAATTCTCTCGATCACTTTGCAAACAGGTAAGCATATAGAACACAAATGATGGTGTTATCTCGCACTGTCAAACATCAAAATTTTCTACAATCAATTTACATAATCGAATTGCAGTGTAAAACTCAACGACAATATTCAATCTTTATTAATCGAATACGAATTTTTACTGAATCCTTGTGATTAAATTATTATCTTCTCATCTTAATCGAATTTATCTTCTGATTTTGTCAAAAACAAGCAAACACTTATCAAATCCCAGCTGATTTCCCAACGATAAAAGCTCGATTTTCGAAAGGAATTTTGCCACCAAATATCGAGATCTCTAATCAAAGATGGGCTGCTCCTTAACTGCGAGCACATTCTCCTTAGTTGCTCCTTGTTTCGCCGTGAAAATTCTCGTTATACCGGCAACGATGAGCCCACCATGGCAGGCTGTTACCACCACGTGTTGCCATAATATCGAGCAAAAGTTTGCCTGTGGCCAGTGGTAGAAAATAATTTGATACGACTCGCCGTTGCAACTTGAACGCAGGTGGAACGTCGAAGCTATGGTTGTCCCTTTGGAGAACCAATTACGATACGTTTCTTGCGACATTCGGCAATTAGGTATCGTGAAATCTTTTGTAACTGCCGAGATCGTGTAACGACCGAATTTGTTTCTTATTGTTTTCCTAGCTGTAACGGGATTGAAATTTTTGAAAGGCAATAGGACATCGAATGAAACTGACATTATTATAAATTGTGAATTTTCTGCTTGAGTTGGATAATTTGATTGTGATGCACAGTAGATCAATCTCTAATTCTTTCGAAACTAATCTAGAAATTATATAATGAAAATAATTAAATTAAATCGAGAGACAAATATCACCGATATTCCGTGTTATCAAGATTTCGGATTACGAATACAGAGAAATTTATGCGAATTTCACAAGTATACTCACGTACATGTTATGTATTTAATATTTCCGAAAAATGATCTATTAAGATTAATCCAATCTTATCATAATAAATCAGTGCTAGGAGTATATATAAATAGCTAGTGTCTAAAATGTAGTGACATATTCAATTGAATCCATTCGTTCCAGCAACATGGTAAGCATTTTAAAAACGATATTCTGTATCCTGTAAGATGTGATGTAAATCCTGTATTACTATTTAATTCTTAAACATCCATTTTTATTCGTTTCCCTACACTGGAAATTACTTCCATTTCAATTCCTGTAATATTAATATATTTTAAATTCGAATCTCGAACGCTTTCATCAATCTGTCTTTCGTTTATAGATGAAATTTGCCGCCATTTTGGTTGTCCTGGCCTTCGCCAGCCCCCTGAATGCCTACGTGGTGCCACGCGTGGGAAACGGTGCTCTCGCCGATGAGTTCCAAGACTTCGTCAACATTGTCCCTTTCGACGAGATAGTAGCACTCGTGCACGAATACGTCCAACACGACCCTGAAGTGCAAGAACTGGTCAGCTATCTGCAAACGAACGAGTTCAGGAACCTTGTCTCCGGCCTCGAACATATCCCTGAATTCGTGGAGCTGCTCAACTACATTCAAAAGGCTGGTCTCGATGCGTACTTGCTGATGAACCAGATCAATGACTACCTGCATCTGGGCAGACTCACTCCATCTGGCTTCCATGCTGCAAGGGCCACCCAAGGAATTCGCGGTTTACTCGATCGAGTCGAGAGTATGCTGAATATGAAGGAAATCGACGCTCTGTACAGGCAAAAGCTTAACGGGTCCACGGTGTTCGCGCAGTTCATACGTTTCTTGGGATCACCCACCACCCAAAAGGTCGTTGACATCATGTGTGCCAACACTGTTCTCAACAACTTCTTGTTGAAGCTCAAGGGCTACGGTGTCCGGCTCCAGCTCGGCAGAGATTTCCTACAGAACGAACTGGGTCTCCATGTCTCCTGTGTCGTTTGAATTTTTACACGTTCTTCCTGTAATTGAATGATCTTTCAAGTTCTTTCAAGTTAATAAATAAGCAGAAGTATAATACATTGTCTTATGCAGTTCCTTCTAGTTCTTTCATTTAAGAGACTTTAGACTGTCCGTTGAGGAGAGTTAGATTCTTGCATGTTAATTTACCAATTAATGAATCGTAAATTTCTTTTTTACAATCTAATAGCTTCCAAACATGTACAAGTGAAATTTACCTTACGACAATTCTTAATGGTAACTCGTAATTTGCGAATTGTCCAAATTTGCTGATAATATGAATTTCATTCATACGCGGGATACTGTTTTCGTTAACATTTTCTTCGTCTTTGACTTTGTCACGTTATATAACAACATTTTCTCAGAATTTTATGTCAGTCCACACCAACTAGAATTTGAAATATCGTATCACCTTATTTGGAAAAAATGAGATTTCAAGAAATACACGTTGAGAGAAAAATTTTATTTTCACACTCTCGTGCACTTCTTTGCATCACTCTGTTTTTAATTATAATCTGAAGAGGTTAAAAAGAAGCGTGGAAGAATTCCTTTTCTAAACCAGGACACATAAACAATAATTATTACGCTGCCAGTCGTGGTCTTCAAACATTTATAATTAAGTTAATTCTGCGAAATCAAGCAAATCCTTGAAAATATGCATACATATTTTCAAACGCATGCATTATAAAAAACACGCAACAAAAAAGATTGATTCTTCCAAACTTCTAAATCAAAATATCCTACTATATAATTAATAAAAAGATACTTATTGAATCGAAATGATTATTATCTCTGCAATAAAAAATTCATATCGAACGTATTTTTACACTATTGTACATTAAATGTTTTCTTGAAATTAATTTCACAAATGTACATAAGAGTATACACAGGATAAGATACGCAGGATAAGATCCACTTGATACACGATAATTCTAAGTTTAATAATGTTCTATGATTAAAATTGATATAACTGATATAAAGAGAATAAAGAAAACATTCATTGTTCAAGTCAAATTTTTCAATTTTGCCTCTTCCTTTCATTTAGAATTCATCGTGCATTCAAATATTTAAAAATATTTTTAACAAAACAATACTGGTGCAAGGCCAGATTTTTTTAATTTTCTTTAGTTTAAATTTTAGTTTAAAGTCATTTTATCGAGATGAACTGCGATATATATATATGAAATCTGATAAGAATTCAGATCAAACGATATAAGGAACTGATTGCATCTCGTATATTTAATATTTATTCGATATCAATTGACAATCAATTTTGCTTTTCATTTTCATAAAAAATGTTATCGTAAAGATAATGTTAAACATGTCCCCTCTTTTCCTTACTTTCAGTCACAAATAGAATCATTTTTCTTGCTTTTACTTGATTAAATGTTCGTACAAATATTCAAAAATGAGGAACTAGTATATTCAATAAAATTCCTCAATGCAGAATTTTTTTTAAGTCGTAGATTCAAGATTAATGATACAGAACTGTTTCAAAATTGCAACAAGTGTATATTTTAAAAGTTAAAACAATTGACCATAGTTGATAATACAACATACTACATAGACAAAAATTTCTCAATCTCTAGTTTTAATCTCTAAAAAAAATCGGTTTAAAGATAAAGAGCTACCAACAGATAAAAGGGAATAATAATTTAAACATATTAGCTGCATGTTGCCCGTCAGAGGCTCAAAATAAATAATTTATTTCGCAAAAGGTTCAGTTGCATTTCGTAATATCTATAATAAACATATCAAATGTTTGGAACCGAATGCATTTTTCATTTGTTGTGTTCCGCGTTAAATAGCAGAATGTGTTGCATAGAAAGTTTACCGCAAAGTCAAATAAAATGAAATCCACAAGGATTCATCGTTTGTTGCGTTAAATGGAGAAAGAGATTGCTCAGAATCAGTTGTTGGAACAAAATACTTGTTCAAATAGTTGTTCAGATTATGATCAAGTAAATTACACAGTTGTATTATATATAAAATCTTATGTATCAAAATAAATTATATAAAAGATAACTCTGGTGAAAAATAGTTGGACAAGAAAAGATTCAACACGTTACGAAAACTGTTCCTTCATTTAATTGTGAAATTAATTACGAATTTTCGCACGATATTGGACATTTAAGAAATGATCATTTAACAGATCATAGTGATCATAGAGTTATCGCTTATTTTTAGAAAACTCTTCCCATTTTAATTATCTTAGCTATTGATTAAAAGAACTAATTAATCAATATTTTCATCGTGTTTATTACAACTGAAGATAACATAAATAATAAGAAAGTAAAAAATTTGTCTCTATATGTATTTACTTTGTGTACCCAAGTACTCGAAGAGTTCGTGATCAATCACGATGATCAATCGATGATGCAAATACAAGTCATACGATGTTTGTTCTGGAAATATTGCTGATCTATTTTAATTTTTCACTGATAACGAGTTTTTTTATAATGAGACATCAACGAGGCTTAGGAACAGGTGCACGAATAAAGAAATCTTATCTATCTCTTGAGGTGGCTCCATATTGTTATTTAATTATTTACGAATGTTCTTTGGTATATATAAACGGTCGAGAGAAGTTTCATGTCGTAGTACTACAGCCTGCCATCAAAGTGATCACGGTGAGTTCACACATGGATCATTATAAAATACCGTTTCAACTGTCTGAAATTATTTCTGCTAGAAAATCCACTAGACGTTTATATTCTCGATGAGTTTCGTCTATCATTTACCATTAGTTTTCGATCAATTTCAATTTTAAGTAGTGAGAATAGATCAATTTAATTTTGTCAGTGGAAAAGTTTCTCTGAAATTCATTGAAAATTATTTAATTGAGAGAAATTTTAACACCGTTCAATTAATAACGAGTTGAACACATCAGCGAATTTCGCTCGAATTTCTACGATCGAAAATGTAGTCTCGTGTTCATCGTGCTTCACTTATCGCGTCAATTAACTTTGTTCGTATTGCAGATGAAATTCGCAGTGGTACTATTCGCGGCGTTCGTTGCGTTCGCAACGGTGAGCTCGCACACTCTCCCAGATTTCGGCAAGGGACCTCTTCACGAGGATATCCAGTATTTTTTGGACTTGATCCCGGTTGACAAGATCACTGGCGTCGTCCTGCAATACGCAGCCGAGGATGCCGAGTTCCAAAATCTGCTCCTGTATTTCAAAACGTCAGATTTCAAATCAATGATCGATGAGATCGAAGCTATTCCCGAGTTCCACAAGTTCGCGGACTACCTACAGAACAACGGTGTCTATATCTACTCCGCGCTGAACAAGCTAAACAGGGTAATCGGCCTGCCGCCGTTCCATCAGTTCAGCAATACGCAAAAAATCACCGGTGGTCTGAAAGGTCTGTTCGAAGACGTGAAGGCGCTCGTCTCCTACGACAAATTCATCCATGGTTACGTGTACAAGATGAAAACGTCCGAAGCCTTCCGCGGCTTTGTAGCTGAACTGAAATCCAACGGCAACCAACAATTCGTGAACGCGCTCTACAAAAATCAAAAGTTCCTGAACTTCCGTACAAAGCTGGTGCAGGGTGGCCTGGACATCACCTTGATCGAAGACGTTATCTATACAGTACTCGGCGTCGAGTTCCCTAACTTCAATAAGCTCAAAATGGAAACCTTCGCCTCCACTGAATTATCCAAAGATATTCAGGACTTCCTCAAACTGGTCGACAAGGAAAAGATACTAG